AACCACAAGTTGCTCATGATAGAGAGGATAGTAGAGTTGAGTAATCAGTACAGCAAACTCATGAGCAGACACGACAAGGAGATGTAGCTCAGTCTGATGTTATAGCTGATCAGATTGCCACTGCTGTTGCTTCTGCTTTACATAGTTCCGATAAAGAATATAGCATAGAGCGAGCAACCAAATTAGGAGCTAAAGTGTTCACAGGCACTACTGATCCAGCAGAAGTCGAATCTTGTTTGGTAAGGATTGAAAGAGTATTTGATGTTATGGATTGTCCCAATGATTGAAAATTACGTTTGGCAACCTTCTTGTTAGAAAGAGGTGCTTATGATTGGTGGAAGTCAGTACAAAGTAAATATGTTGATCCTTCTGTGATTATGTGGACTGATTTTAAAGAAAATTTTAATGAGTATTACTGCCCCGTTCATATAAGAGTGACAAACATAATGAATTCTTGAAACTAGTTCAGACATCCACAGTGGCTAAATATCAGAAAAAGTTCGTAGATTGTTGCTTCTGCTTTACATAGTTCCGATAAAGAATATAGCATAGAGCGAGCAACCAAATTAGGAGCTAAAGTGTTTACAGGCACTACTGATCCAGCAGAAGTCGAATCTTGTTTGGTAAGGATTGAAAGAGTATTTGATGTTATGGATTGTCCCAATGATTGAAAATTGCGTTTGGCAACCTTCTTGTTAGAAAGAGGTGCTTATGATTGGTGGAAGTCAGTACAAAGTAAATATGTTGATCCTTCTGTGATTATGTGGACTGATTTTAAAGAAAATTTTAATGAGTATTACTGCCCCATTCATATAAGAGTGACAAACATAATGAATTCTTGAAACTAGTTCAGACATCCACAGTGGCTAAATATCAGAAAAAGTTCGTAGAATTATCAAAGTATGTTGCGGCCCTTGTAGTCGATGAAGTTGATAAGTGCAGAAGGTTTGAACATGGTTTGAGAGAAGAAATTAGATCCGTAGTAACTGCAACAGGGCATGAGAATTTTGGTAAACTTGTAGAAGCAACGATGCAAGTGGAGAAAAGTATTTTAGAACAACAAAATAGTCAGCAACAAATGAGGCCTGGAGTTGGTGGTAGTCATCAATGAGCAAGAGTCTCAAGGAATAGGCCTCCGAGAAGAGATCATAGAGGAGGTGGATTAGGTGTTTCCACATCTGGCAGCTTCAAATCCAGATCTCATGGCAGTCAGAGATCTATGCAGCAGCCATGGAGTAGTCGTTTTCAGACACAGGGATCTTCCTAAAGATCATTTACTTCTAGGCAGGGTGATAGCTCCAGTGTTGCCAGGTTTCCTTAGTGTTAGTCTTGTGGGAAATTTCACCCTGGTGAGTGCCTTAAAGGTGTTGGTGTTTGTTACCACTCAGAACAACAAAATAGTCAGCAACAAATGAGGCCTGGAGTTGGTGGTAGTCATCAATGAGCAAGAGTCTCAAGGAATAGGCCACCGAGAAGAGATCATAGAGGAGGTGGATTAGGTGTTTCCACATCTGGCAGCTTCAAATCCAGATCTCATGGCAGTCAGAGAGCTCCTTAAATTAGGACATTGTACCAAATTCTTGAGATCATTATAGAAATAAGAATGCCGAGATTGTACATTGTTTTTCTGCTTCTTGTGTTGTCAAGTAAGAGAAGAAGGATTGATCTTAATGGCCTCCCAGGGCATAGTCCAATTGTTATGACTCAATTTTTATAGTAAAAAATTCAAATGTTGACTAATCAAGGTCAAAGTCAATTAAAGACTAAAATAAAATTAAATATTTTATTTGGGTTTATTTTGCAATTGGCAATGTATGAAGGTTAAATTAGATACAATTTAAAGTTGGGAATTTATTTATATATTTTTGGAAGTTGAGGATTAAATGTGTTATGAAAAGGGGGTTGAAGGACTTATTTTGCAATTTTTGGCAAGTGGACCATTAAATCACTAGAATTGACCCATTTTCTCTAAAAAATGCACACACTAAAAAATGGAGCAGAGAGCTGGAGAGACCGAAAGAGGGAGAAACACTAAGGAAAAAAGAGAAGAAAAAGAGAAAGAAGGAAGAAAGGAAGAAAATGGAAGAAGAGGACGCGAGGTGGTGATGAAGAAATTGAAAAAGATTACCGACCAGCCTAGTCTGTAATTCGTATTGAGTGAGTGGATGAAAATTAATTTTTCAACAATAAGTATTTATTCAATTTATATTAAATCAGAAAATTTATTATTTAATACAGTAGATTTGATAGCATGATTTTTCGAATAAAGTTGATTTATAAATAGTTGTTTTTAAAGTTTGATCTAGTTCAGTTAAATCATTTCATTAGCATGTTTTATCGATATTACATGTATCAGAATATTTAAAATTATTTCTAAAAACCACCAAAAAGTACCCAGGTGATTTTACTCCAGTCTGCACTAATGTGAATATATTTCCACAGTGTATGACTACTTACGGTGATTTTACCCGCGTTCAAGGATTGCATGATTAGAGTGAATGATCATGAGTTGAAAGCTAATTTGATTCCACTTGATATTCATGATTTTGATGTGATATTGTGCATGGATTTCTTAGCTGCAAATCATGCTTCAGTTGATTGCTTTCGCAAAGAGGTGGTGTTCAGAAGGTCAGAAGAGCCTAAAATTATTTTTAGTGGTGAACGGAGAATATTACCTTCATGTCTTATTTCTGCACTTGATACTGGGAGATTGCTTAGAGAAGGCCGTTCTGCGTATTTGGCTCATGTGATTGACACCCAAATCACTAAGTTGAAACTTGATGATATACGTGTGGTAAGAGATTTCCCTGAAGATCTTCCAGGGTTACCTCCAGATATAGAAATTGAGTTTACCATTGACTTGTTCCCAGGGACTACTCCTATTTCGCAAACACCTTATAGAATGACTCCAGCAGAGTTAAAGGAATTGAAAGTTTAGTTGCAAGATTTAGTTGATAAAGGTTTTATTAGACCCAGCGTATCTCCATGGGGAGCACCGGTCTTATTTGTAAAGAACAAAGATGGCATAATGCGATTGTGTATTGACTATAAATAGTTGAATAAAGTGACTATTCGCAATAAGTATCCTTTGCCTCGTATTGATGATTTGTTTGACCAACTTCGAGGTGCCACAGTATTTTCTAAGGTTGATCTATGCTCAGGGTACCATCAACTCAAAATTAGGGATGTTGATGTGCAGAAAACTACTTTTAGGTCACGGTATGACCATTATGGGTTTCTAGTGATGCCGTTTGGGTTGATTAATGTCTCAGCAGCATTTATGGATTTGATGAATAGGGTGCTTACCCATATTTAGACAAATTTATGATTGTGTTTTATTGATGATATATTGGTTTATTCTCGCAGTCGTGATGAGCATGCTGAGCATTTGAGGATTATTTTACAGACTTTGCGAGATAAACAATTGTATGCTAAGTTTATCAAATGTGAATTTTGGCTAGACAAAGTTGTATTTCTGGGTCATGTTATCTCATCAGAAGGTATTTATATAGATCCTCAAAAAATTGAAGCCGTAATAAAATGGGAACTCCTTATTAATGTTACAAAAGTACGGAGTTTTCTTGGGTTAGCAGGATATTATCGTCAGTTCGTAGAGGATTTTTTCAAAATTGCTCTTCCTCTGACTAGTTTGACTCGAAAGAACACCAGGTTTGTGTGGATTGAAGAATGTGAAAAGAGTTTTCAAGAGTTGAAGAGAAGATTAGTTTCTGCTCCTATATAATAATCAACATATCATACTATCGTTTTTACTTTACATTTACAGTAAATATTCCTTCTGGTAATTCTAATATAATTATAGCTCTTTGAATTAAATATTAATTCGATAAGGTTAGATAAATGTATTTTACAGAAAATAATTGGAGAATTTATCGTTAAGGTGAACCGTACCAAACTTCAGATTAACGCAATTTATTCAGAACATTTGTACCTGTAAATATAATCCCTTTATTTTTGGTATCTTCATATTCTCTTCAAAATGGGGAGATGGGGAAGAAAATTAGTAAGATTTTTAATTAGGTGCTTGAAAAATATGTTGTCCAGTTTCGAAAATTCTATATTGATAATTGCAGTCAAGCACTCAATGTCCAAATCAGAGAACAATCAACGTGAGGAAAATATCTGAAAACTAGCATGTATAACATTCAAAAAGAAATGGTAATGGTTAGATTTGTCCATTTTGTCTATTAAAATATGGTGCAATGTGCATAATTTTTCAAAAATACGTAGAGGAAAGATTTTAACTCGAATCTTTTATTCATTCTTATTTATGTTCTGATATCACATTAAACCGTATAATTCAAAAACTTAATGTATTATAGAAGGGTCACTAACTATGGTAAGATTTGTCCAAATCAAATTCCGGGGTGATCTCGACCCAAAATAGAAAATAAACCTAAAAGGATGAAAGATGGTCGTTTAAAAACATGAAATACCATGATTATTTAGTAGTCAATGAAGCTCTTCATGATTGGCTTATATAAAAAGTTCATTTACATTGTTGAATGCAACATATTATCCCAATTTCTCAACCAGTTTATTCAATTCTTAACTAAATTATCAAAACAGATAAGCCAAGGTTATGTATTGTGTTTAGTGTGGCATCGTAAATGATGCATCGTTTGGGGGCAAAAGTTAATCGTCTCATTTCGAAGATATTTCTTCACCCGGCATTGTCTTATCTCCCATATCCTTTTCAGTAAAAAATTTTGGTCCAGAGATAGATTACATTGGTATCCTCGATTTCCCAAATGGTTACTAGCTAGAGAATTACGTACTATCCTTTTAATAAGATGGACTCTGTATAGTTTTCGAAATTTTTGTCGTGTCTTTCTTTTCTAATGCACTGTTCCGAACAAGTTGTGAATAATAAAGTTGATGTGATGCCGGATTATTGAAATTTCTATACGTATTGATGTCTTTTATTTATCTCATAGAAATACTTTCGAAAATTGCAGAAAGTCAGTTGGGGTCACGCAAACATGGTCGAAGCAGAACGCAGACTACTGGCCAATGCTCTTCTTGATTTCTCAAACCATTATTTTGTTCTCCTCTCTGAATCATGCATTCCCCTTTATAATTTTTCCACAATATACTCTTACCTAATGAACTCGACCCAAAATTTTGTGGAGTTGTACGATTTACCTGGCCCCGTCGGTCAAGGAAGGTACAGCATCCTAATGCAGCCATTGATCAAGCTCGAGCAATGGAGAAAGGGCTCTCAATGGTTTGCAATGGACAGAGATCTTGCAATTGAAGTTATAGCTGACAATACTTATTTTCCAGTGTTCCAAAAATATTGCAATGGCTCATGTTATGCTGATGAGCATTATTTGCCAACGTTTGTGAACGTGAAATTTGAAGGGAGGAATTCAAATAGAACTTTGACTTGGGTTGACTGGTCCAAGGGTGGGCCCCATCCTTCCCAGTTTTTAAGGACAGATGTTACTCCAGAGTTCTTGGAGAAGTTAAGGAGTGAAAATTCATGTGAGTGAGTGGATGGAAATTAATTTTTCAACAATAAGTATTTATTCAATTTATATTAAATCAGAAAATTTATTATTTCATACAGTAGATTTGATAGCATGATTTTCCGAATAAGTTGATTTATAAACAATTATTTTTAAAGTTTGATCTAGTTCAGTTAAATCATTTCATTAGCATGTTTTATCGATATTATATGTTTCAGAATATTTAAAGTTATTTCTAAAAACCACCAGAAAGTACCCAGGTAATTTCACCCCAGTCTGTACTGGTGTGAATGTGTCTCCACAGTGTATGACTACTTATGGTGATTTTACCAACTCTGCACTATTGTGAATGTGTTTTCATAGTGTATGATCAGAATTGCAGAATCTTAGCTTTGCGCGCGTAATTACAGAATTTCAGAATTACAGAATCGAATAGCTTTGTCATGTATATCGGTACTAACTGATATATGGGTAAGGTTATTTCGGGTGTCTTTTTGGTGTGATTTTCAGTAAATTGCAGTTCATCAGTTTTCAGATTATAGAATTTAGTCATTTCAATTTAAAGAATAAATATTTTGGCTTATAGTACAATAAAAGAACATTTTTATTATATACTAGTTTTCTGAAAGTTGGCATAACTAGAAAATATATATTTACTTACGGAATATCCACTTACTGAGTTACAGGCTCACATTTTTATCACAATTTCTCTTATCAGATAGTAACTGAGTTGAGTTCTACTGGCCAGTTGATCTATGGAGTTGAGCCATAGATTATCAAGCATTGCATGACTCATCTTATCAGTTTAATAGTTTATATTTTAGGATAGACACTTCTTTTGGTCAGAAATTAATTTTATGTTTTGGGCCTGCTATGTTTTGTATATATTATGCATTTTGAGTATTGTGGTTTATAAATTATTGCAAATGTCGAATTGCTAGTGTTGTATTTTAAATAGTTGATATTCTGTGGGTCAGTGTACCCTATTTTAAACTATATGTATCTGTTTGGGATATTGGATTATATATTTTAGGTGGTTTTAGTCCATAATTCAGGGGGAATTCTGCCAAAATTTTTAACAGTCAAAACAAGTCAAAGTTGCCTTAATGGTGGGTCTGACACTTAACTGGTATTTACTATCGGCACACGACACGTGTCGAGATTATTAGGATGATTCAGGACGGGTCGTGTCACCAATTGTGCAAAGGATATGAGTGAGGTTATTTCACGCCTTGCTGGCAGTCGCAGTATGAGGGTTCAATTTCTGAGACATGGAATTGGACTCCTTGTAAACGCAGTGTATATGCAGCTCTTGTTCCCTGGTCTGCTGAGGCACATCCCGCGATTTATCTCCCTTACAAAGCTCAAGGGGCGGGGCGGTGGAGGCCCTTAAGATTGGGGTTCAACCTTTTTTGTCAGGATTGATCTTAATGAAGTTGTTTGCAGAATCGGGTTCACTTGTCAAATGCCACTTTCATGCTTTATTCGTATCTTTATAATTACTTATTTCGAATTTTATGATCGATAACAATGAAACATTAGTTCGTCGATCATATTAATCTCAAATGTGATCATTTCACTTTCAGTTATATGTTTTTTCTTATCAAAATGGAATTGGATAATGATTTCAAACAAACTGGAGTTGTATCTCTTTTTATATTTCCATTCAAGAGTTTGTATGTATTTCAACACCCATTGAGACCCTGAGAAATGGATAAATTCATTTTCTTAAGGATATCTATATGAGATTTGTCACAACAAGAAGGAATGATAACTTGATCATTAACTACTATATTCATAACTTTATAACAATACAAATACGTATCCTCGAGAGGCACAATTTGCAACTTACTCTCCTCTTGCCTATATGCTAAAGATTTATCTGGAATTTCGTACGATTCAAATGGATCAATATGAGAGTTCGACCATATTGCATTGTTAGAATTCATGTTGCTTATTTAAAAGAGTTTGACCTCCTTACTTCCCTATTGTGTGTCAAGCCCCTTCTTCATTAGTCCACATAAATAAAATGTAGGACTAGTTCAACTCGCAAGCATGAAGTTAAAATCGCTAGTAATCGCCTGTTTGCATCTATATAGCCAGAAATTTGTTCACTTAGCCTGTTCACATTGCTCATCATACTCTGAAAACTGATCATGTTTAAAGCCATTGCAACACATCTAGTGACCATTTGTAAATCTTTCGACTTTTTTAAGGTCACAAATTTGATTAAACACATCAAGTTGTCAACCCAACTTAACAAAAATTTACCACAAAATTAAATAAAGATCATAATTAACACTTTAAAACTCATAAATCATAATAAGCTAAGTGGTCCACAAAACCTACTACTTGCAATGTTCAAGTCCAATATGCAATCAAATAGTTTACTGGGTCCTGATAAGCAATTATTTTGTTGGGGTGCGTTATCTATACCAGAATTGAACCGTTGATTGTGACCCTCTAGCGGTCTGTCATTTCCTCATGAACACGTTATTTTATTGCTGGGTAAATTGGATTATAAATCACGTTATTAACTTATGCAATCGAATTTGGCCCTGCTTTAACTAAAAAGTTAATAAAAATTTAAGTTAAATTTATAATTAATTTTAATCAGATATTTCATCGGATACACAATGTTTGTTAATTTTTCAATTACATATTTAATTAATTTTTATCAAAATCTACTGAAAATATGATTTTTAACAAAATCTGACTTAATATTTTACCATTATCTATAACCAATCAGAGAGTAAATACATCAATTATGGTCATAATTCAATATTCGTTTTTAGTGTGAAAAAGCTTGACCAACGTTTCAGTTTGGAAAAAATTAAATATGAACGTGAACTCTAAGACACTAAGTATGCCACAAAATAAATGATTTTGTTATGATAAAAAAACATTTATGGATAATGGAAAACATTTACAAAAACATGTATACAAATCTTAACATACCCAATAAGCCATAAACAAACCATTTTAGAATTCAGAACTCGGGAGGTGATCTTAACTAAGATTTTGATGGATTTTAAAAGATTATAAATCTTAATGAATTTCTTGGATTTGAATAGATTTCCACAAATTTCATAAAATCTCATCAAATATGTTAAAATTTCAAAAGATTTTATTATATGTATTTTTAAGCAGGAAATCCATTCATTTATTTTAAAATCCCTCTAATATTTAAACTTGAAAGAATTTCATTAGGACACTTAAATTTTAATAAATTTCATGAAAATCCATTAAAATACACCTAAATTCAGAAGGTCGATCACAATCTTAATTTACAACTTAACTGATATGCATAGCATTAATTACAAAATCATACTTAATGTGGGTAATTAATAGGCATAAATAATAATATATGGAGGCCAATTCAAAGTAAGACGTTACCTATTCTTTCCTTGTATGCCTGTTTGGTTCACGTCCGTTTAAACCACAGAAACTTACATTGTTCGACGGCTAACTTTCTTTAAGTTTTTCAAATTTATGTCGTTTCATATACTGAATACTTTCTCCAATCTTCATTGGTCAACTTTTAAAAATGTTTTTTGTTTGTATATAAATTTGATCTTCGACAAGTTAAATCTAGACAGCCAACAAACATCATAGAATTGGCCGGATAGTTTGTTTGTTTGTTTCAAGTTTATATAAAACGCAAACTTTGTGATCTCAGACTTTAACCGACAGTTGTTCACTTCTCTTTATCAATGTTCCAATGTTAGTTCCCAAATGTTTCTTCAAAATCACTTATTCTCTTGGAATTTCCATTGCTTCTTCATTGTAATTTCAGAGGCTCATATCACAAAGTAACCAGAGAATTTTATCAAAATGAAGAACCAGAATCCAATTTCTTCAGGTGGAAGTGGGAAGTCCATGAATGTTATTGCCCCATTGTCACTGGTTAAACACCTTTCTTGCTTTTTCTTTTTCATTTTCGGGTTAACTCTTGGGATAATTCTTTGTTTCCATTACAAAAGTTTCTCTTTCAATCTGCTAGTTACCAATCGCCAATTCTCTATTTTCACTTCACAATCATCATCATCATCACTATCAACGCCTCCAACTTCAAATACAAGTAATTATAATCTAGAGCCACCTAATGTTATTATGCATAACTTGAATGATCAAGAATTGCTGTGGAGAGCCTCAATGGCTCCAAGAATTCAAGAATTTCCATTCAAACGACGTCCCAAGATTGCATTTATGTTCTTGATTAGAGGGCCGGTTTTGTTAGCCCCTCTGTGGGAGTTATTCTTCAAAGGAAATGAAGGGCTATACTCAATTTATGTGCATTCTGATCCAGCTTTCAATGAATCAGACCCTCAAGGTTCAGTTTTTTATGGCAGGAGAATTCCTAGTAAGGTCAGTCAGTTCAACTCATTCTTATTGCATTATTCATTATTATATAAATTGCTGCTTAAACACGCTGCTGCTCTTGTCCGTAATTTTAATATGAAAACAATAATCAACATATCATACTATCGTTTTTACTTTACATTTACAGTAAATATTCCTTCTGGTAATTCTAATATAATTATAGCTCTTTGAATTAAATATTAATTCGATAAGTTTAGATAAATGTATTTTACAGAAAATAATAGGAGAATTTATCGTTAAGGTGAACCGTACCAAACTTAAGATTAACGCAATTTATTCAGAACATTTGTACCTATAAATATAATCCCTTTATTTCTGGTATCTTCATATTCTCTTCAAAATGGGGAGATGGGGAAGAAAATTAGTAAGATTTTTAATTAGGTGCTTGAAAAATATGTTGTTCAGTTTCGAAAATTCTATATTAATAATTGCAGTCAAGCACTCAATGTCCAAATCAGAGAACAATCAACGATGAGGAAAATATCTGAAAACTAGCATGTATAACATTCAAAAAGAAATGGTAATGGTTAGATTTGTCCATTTTGTCTATTAAAATATGGTGCAATGTGCATAATTTTTCAAAAATAGGTAGAGGAAAGATTTTAACTCGAATCTTTTATTCATTCTTATTTATGTTCTGATATCACATTAAACCGTATAATTCAAAAACTCAATGTATTATAGAAGGGGCACTAGCTATGGTAAGATTTGCCCAAATCAAATTCAGGGGTGATCTCTACCCAAAATAGAAAATAAACCTAAAAGGATGAAAGATGGTCGTTTAAAAACATGAAATACCATGATTATTTAGTAGTCAATGAAACTCTCCATGATTGGCTTATATAAAAAGTTCATTTACATTGTTGAATGCATATTATTATCCCAATTTCTCAACCAGTTTATTCAATTGTTAACTAAATTATCAAAACAGATAAGCCAAGGTTATGTATTGTGTTTAGTGTGGCATCGTAAATGATGCATCGTTTGGGGGCAAAAGTTAATCGTCTCATTTCAAAGATATTTCTTCACCCGGCATTGTCTTATCTCCCATATCCTTTTCAGTAAAAAAATTTGGTCCAGAGATAGATTACATTGGTATCCTCGATTTCCCAGATGGTTACTAGCTAGAGAATTATGTACTATCCTTTAAATACGATGGACTCTGTATAGTTTTCGAAATTTTTGTCACGTCTCCCTTTTCTAATGCACTGTTCCGAACAAGTTGTGAATAATAATGTTGATGTGATGCCGGATTAATGAAATTTCTATACGTATTGATGTCTTTTATTTATCTCATAGAAATACTTTCGAAAATTGCAGAAAGTCAGCTGGGGTCACGCAAACATGGTCGAAGCAGAACGCAGACTACTGGCCAATGCTCTTCTTGATTTCTCAAACCATTATTTTGTTCTCCTCTCTGAATCATGCATTCCCCTTTATAATTTTTCCACAATATACTCTTACCTAATGAACTCGACCCAAAATTTTGTGGAGTTGTACGATTTACCTGGCCCCGTCGGTCAAGGAAGGTACAGCATCCTAATGCAGCCATTGATCAAGCTCGAGCAATGGAGAAAGGGCTCTCAATGGTTTGCAATGGACAGAGATCTTGCAATTGAAGTTATAGCTGACAATACTTATTTTCCAGTGTTCCAAAAATATTGCAATGGCTCATGTTATGCTGATGAGCATTATTTGCCAACGTTTGTGAACGTGAAATTTGAAGGGAGGAATTCAAATAGAACTTTGACTTGGGTTGACTGGTCCAAGGGTGGGCCCCATCCTTCCCAGTTTATAAGGACAGATGTTACTCCTGAGTTCTTGGAGAAGTTAAGGAGTGAAAATTCATGCGAGTACAATGGTAATGAAACTAATGTTTGTTTCTTGTTTGCAAGAAAATTTGCACTGAATGCTTTGGATAGATTGTTGAGGTTTGCACCAATTGTTATGCACTTCAACAGTTAGGTTTATAGAGATATGTATAGAGAATCATCAATTTATTGGGCACCATGTCTCGAGGCCCCCCACGCTTTATTTTTTTTTTTTTAATTTTTAATCTCATGGTTTGTACTGAACTTGAATTTTAGAAACCAATTAGAAATTCAAAATGATACAATTTTATAGATGCATAAACTTGAATTTTATAGATACGTAGAAATTTTTTTCCTAATGATTTTCGATTCACATTACAGTGCTCTGAACTATTAAATTGCGAGACAGATTTTACATAATAGAAATCACCAAATATATATATATTTCATCTAAATTTTTAATGACTAACAACTTATTAAAACTTAATAACATATTAATTCCATATTTAATTATTGAAGTTGTAGCTTGGAGCCATGATTGATAATTAGGAACTCGAACTTGTAAAAAGGTGGAACGCTGCTAGGTGTAGGTGCCCCTGGTATTACAGGGCCACATGGACCTCGTAAGCAATAATCCAAAAAGGTATGGGCTAAATGATTTGGTCTAAAGGCAAAAGTTTGAGTATAGAGCTATTCAAGTACACGTACAAATTATTTAAGAGAAAATTTCATATCTATGAGTTTAATTGTGAGTCATTTCAAGATTAAGAAGGAAAGTTTAAAATTTCAAAATTTGGATATTATTATATTTTATTTATGAATTAACTAATTAAAAATATATTATATTAATTAAGTTTATTAAGGTCGCAATTCTATATAATTTAGTCACAAATTAACGAATTAATTGGTTACAAATTATTATAATTTTTTTTATAAATTATAAATTATTTTTCGATCACAAATCAAAAAATTTATAGATCACAATTTATTCGCTGATCATAAAATTAAAAAAAATTATAAGTCAATTCATTTATCAATCACGAATAATAAATTTTATAAGTCACAATTTATTTCACAATCACAAACTATCAATTTAATTGGTCATATAAGTTATTTTTCGATCACATTTTTTAAGTAACATATTTATTTATTAATCGCAAATTAATCAAATAATTGGTTGCAAATACTATTCTTCCCACTACCACTGCACCGCCACATTATCATGACTTGCATCACCACTTGCACCAACAATCATCCCAACACTCCAACAAAGCAAATCCAAAGAAAAACACCAAAAAATCACCCCAAAAATCATGTCGAAACCATTGCAACAACCATTCACACCAGCAATCAACACAAAACACAAACTTTCACCACCACCCCAACACTCCAACAAAGCAGATGACAAGAAGACAGCCAGAAAACCACCTCCCCAAAAATCATCTCAAGAACATTGTAGCAACCTTTCAAGCCAGCAATCACCGTTGTGCGCTATGGGCATAGATCGCCTCGTCGTTGCCCCGTATATAGATGCACTACTTCTACGCACGATGTTGCTGGCATCAAAGCAGTCACGGTATGCCTTTACGTCGACAATCAACACAAACAAGTGGTGGTGTTACGCCCAATGAAGCCGCCGCTGTATACTGCGAGCACAGATCCGCTCGATGTTGCCCATATATAGATCGACGGTGGCTATATGACCTCTATGCACGGTGCTGCTGGCAGCGAAGTAGCCATAGCACACTACTCTCTGGTGGTGTTGTCGAATAAGAGAGAGAGAGAGAGAGTAACGAGAGAATATGAAGGGATGGAGAAGAGAGTGAAATGAATTAGGTTTAGGGAAGAAATTGAGAGCATGTTTAGTAGAGATTTTAATCTAATTAATATTAATTTTTTGACTGTTATTTCATTATTTCAATCGTTATTTTTGAATTCTTCTTTCACGGGTAAGATTCACTTTATTTCTAACAATCAAAAAATCAATTAACAAAATCTCTATAAAACAAGCACTGAAGATGGGGATGGGGATGGATAGTTTTAATTTTATAAATTACTAGTCTATATTGCACGGGAATGATTATTTTGTACGTGATATTAGCGTTTTTAATGTTGATACGAGTTTAGTGTTTAAAAAAGAAGCGAATCAATTATTTATAAAAATAAACATTTGAGGTAAGTTATCTGTGATGTACATAATTTTGAAATTGAATGATTCAATATAGTAATAATAAAAATGAATAGTTCAATGCTGTGCATAGAAAAGCAGTAATTTCCACCATTAGAAAAAAATTGAAATAATTTTAAATCGAACAACTTTATATTGAAAAAAATTGAAATAGAAAAAAATTTCTCTTTTAAAGGAGAGAAAAGCAGTAATTGAAAAAAATTAAATTCAATCATAAAGAGAAAGAATTTTTAAAAAATTTAAATAGAAAAAAATAATATATATATATATATATATATATACACACACACACACACAAAAATTTAAAAAATAAATTAATCAGTAATTTCCACAAGTGGAAAAATTGAAATAATTTTATATTGAACAAATTTATATTGAAAATATTTTAAATGGAAAAAAAATTGTCCTTTGGAAGAAAGAAAATCAGTAATTGAAAAAATTAAGTTCAATGAGAAAAGAATTAAAAAAATTTATCTATAATATAAACAAAAAAAATTTAAAAACAAAATAAATAAAAATAAATATATTTCCATCCATTGAAACTCTCATTCCAAAAAGGAGAGACAATCTCTTCATGGATGGAGAGATTCTCTCCATCCATGGAGATAATTTTTTTTTGCTTATTTTTTATTTAAATTTATTTTGTTCATATTATAATTTTTTATTTATAATTCTTTTTTCTTTATGATAAAATTCATTTCTTTCAATTTTAATTAAATAATATTAATATATTATTTGTTTCTTTTTTGTAACTTTAATTTGTTTAATTAAATAAGATTTATTTATTGTTTAAGAAAGTAATTTGTTAAATTTGAATTAAATAATATTTATTTTTAATTTTAATTACTTTAGTTTAATTTAAAAATTTTATAATATTTTTTTTCTATTTTTGCCTGCAATTCATTTTTTAATCTTTATATTTAGTTTCTTTTCTTTATTATTATATATAGTATTGGATTGGATATTAAATAATATTTATTTATTCTTTAAGAAATTAATTTGTTAAATTTGAATTAAAGAATATTTATTTTTAATTTAAATTATTTCAATTTAATTTAAAAAAAGTATAATAATTTTTTTTCGATTTTTGACTTCAATTCCTTATTATAATCTTTATATTTAGTTTCTTTTCTTTGTTGTTATACATGCATTGGATTCGATGTAGTAGTGTATAAAATGGAGAAATATTTTATATAAGTATGATTTAACAAATAGTTCATTGTGTTTGCAGTGGAAAGGATAAAAAGGAAACTAAAATATGTACAACAACCTATTTTTTAATATCAAAAGTAGTAATTTATTGCTATTCGGTGGTATTTTAAACGTAGTATTTACTCGAAGGTATACGATTAGGTTTGTGTACATAGACATGGACAGATCATGTTACTTTTTCAAAACTACAAAATAAAACACTGCGTGACTGCCTATTGTCACAAAAGTAATATAGATGTTGTTCACTCATGTTTTTGTTTCGAGGTGATTACTGTGGTTCCGTCATCAGTTTTATAGCCTGTTTTGGGGTTTTGACTCCACTTCAGTAGGTACATTTGATGGTTGGAAGAGCGACCTCTTTGTATGTAGTGGAGAGATTTCTTCAGTGGCTATGGAAATTTCATCGGGTTGGCCGTCAACTTTGTTCTTGCCCTTTGTATCTTTGTTGTCTGAACTTTCTTTCATTTCAGTTGGCCTGTTCACATCATCTGTGATAATTGAAGAATTTATTTCAGTCGGCGTGGAGGAGTTGATTACGAATATGATTTCAAAGTAGGTGGGCCGTGGCGCTTTTTTGTCGCCTTTAGGTAAAAGAGCATCTTTGTATCACTTTCCAATTTCATGATATCATTGAGTTCTGTATTTTGTTCCTGTGGTAGACAAAATATATTTTCAATATAGTGGCATATATGTTGTGAAGAAAGAAAGCATTATTGAAGGATATTGGATGTGATGCTTTACATTTTTAAGATGCTCCATTATGGCATTGGCATTACTTTCTAGTAACACCTTTGCTGCATCTCCTATGATGGTTGCATCTAATGAACCAAATTTGTCTTCAAGTTGTACGAAAGCATTTACCCCCTTTTTTTTTGCCAGCTATGCATTATATACCTTGTTCATGAAGCAATTATTAGTAAAGTTTTGAACTTATGTTTAATGGAAGAAATTACCTTTGGGATAGCTTTTGCGTATGCATATTTGCAGAAGTGACATTTATAAATTTCTCCAAATTTTGTGTTGGACGTCTTCTTGCAGTTGCTGCAAGACATATACCAAGATTTTTGGTTTCTTGATGCTATTTTCCAGTTTGCATTCACCTAGTAGAATTTTTTGTGTTAAAAGAGATGTCTTATGTAATTAGATAAGCAGATAGTACGAAGGAAAATGCGTGATGCTACTATAATGTATATTATGAAATATAGAGAGAATGTATTTCTGCTAATTATATTCAGTTCATTAGTTTAGAATTACCATTAGGTAGATTCCTAGTAAATCTTCAATTGGTGTTAATTCATTCTCAGTTGGAGGATAAAGCTTTGGTGGGCTGATATTAACAAAAGGTTTTTTCTCTGTCAGCTTGTCAAGTGTTTCTTTGTTAGCTTCCACCCTGTGAGAAATAATGACATATTTAGTTCTAAAATATAACTCTTGTTTTTTTGTTGTTGTATGAATGCTGTAAAAGTAATATGTGTATTGGGTATATTGTGGTACCATTCTTTATACTTTGAAACGGCCAGTAGTTGGACATTAATGAAAAAACTACAATTTGCTTTGGTTGAAAGGGTGATACCAGCAGAAAAGAAATTAGGAATAACTTATATGTTTTTTTTTGAAAAAAATAATAATAGCACTATAGATGAAATTGTATTTGTAAAACGAATTTACCGTTGAACGAAGAAACCTTGAGATTTGTAGCCCATACGACGGGTATATTTGCAAGGTTTTCAATTATTGTAGTGCATTCTCGTTTGACATAGCTATCCTATAATGTTAGTATCACAGTTTTAAACTGTTTGTCTATTAAGACAACATTTTGTAAATAAGCTTGTGTAGCAAAGTTAATTTGAATTAGTCGTTTCAATTAT